CATCACCCCGGAGCAGTTCGCGCAGCTCCTGCGGGACAATAACGTGACGCGGGAGCAGTTCATCGCCCTCTACGGGCTGCAGCCGCTGGTGTACATCCCGGAGCTGCCGGGGCGCACCAAGGTGGCCTTCGTCCTTATCTGCGTGCTCATCTTCGCCCTGGCGCTCTTCGGCAACTGCCTGGTGCTCTACGTGGTGACCCGCAGCAAAGCCATGAGGACCGTCACCAACATCTTCATCTGCTCCCTGGCGCTCAGCGACCTCCTCATCGCCTTCTTCTGCGTCCCCTTCACCATGCCCCGGGGCGCCCGCGCGCTGTGGGGGGGGGGGGGGCAGCCCGAGGGCAGCGTTATTCCCGCGCACCCCTGCGGAGCTCTTCGCGCTCGCACAGGGCTTAAACTCTTCGGTGAAAACTGGAAACGTCTCCCTGGAGCCGCTGGCCGGCGTTCGTCGGCTTTTATCGCAGGACCGGGGCGTTATCTCCAGGTGTGTAGTTCAGTAACCTTAGCTGCTTTCCCGCCAGGTTAAAAAACGGCTACACCCCTCCCTCAGGTTTGGTTAAACCCAGTGCACTTTCATGCTTATGTTCGTTAGTCTTGTGGTGCTTTATTTTTTTTTTTTTTTTCCTAAGTAATGAAATATGACTGGCAAGTGAAATACCAGTCTGTATTCAGCTTAAGTTCCTCTGGCAACAGTAGACTTGGAGTCAGACCTCCTTAACCTATTGTGAGGAAAAAAGAATACATCCTTGGAAAAATAGGGGAGTGAGAAAACATGCAGAATTTATGTTGAACTGATGTATTATTTTCAAAAATATGCTTTTATCTTGGGAATTATGTTGTATTCCTGTTGATGTGAAGGACCTTTGGGCAAGGCCTCCCTGATACCTAGGAAGAATTACTATTTTTTTTTCTTTTTTTATGAATCCCAGTTCCAAAGTAGTAAAGTAGCAAAAAGACAAAGGTAAAATAACACTGCAAATGGTATTCATCTTCATTTTCTCGGTCTGAAATGGTGTTTGACAATTGTGAGTGGAAAAATAAAAGGGATGGCTTTACAGAAAGTAGCAGACAACATCTTGTACAATCACAAATTGAAATATTTTTCAGAACGTTTCAATATGTGCAGAAAGAATGTTCATGAAGTGACACGGTTGTGTTTCAATTTCTGAGGCTTCCTTGTGTTTCTGTTGTTGGGAGACTGTGAAGGTTACCTTCAGAACATGATATTTAATTCCAGTACATCCCATGGACTACAACGCAGGGTGGGAAGTGACAGGTCAGAGGAGACTTGGAAAGCATTTGGATACCTAACCCAATGTGAGGTGGGCTTTACTTCTGTCTGAAAACCAGGAACTTTCTCTGAGAAGTGATGGATACAAAACTCTGCTACTGATAGGAAAGACAACTGTTTTATTTTGTTACGAGCTGTGTCTGGGGGAGGTAACCACTGTTTTAAGACAGTACAGATGTTGAGCCCCAGAACTAATAAGGATGTGTAAATAAAAGTAATGGAATAAATTTATAGCTATGCTGCTGTGCCTTCCTTTTGACTATTGTAGTTCCAGTTCTCCTTGCTGAAAGAAAAAAATAAGGCATCAAGAGATCTCACATAAAGGGGAGACGACTGAATTGAGTCGCTTTCCCTAAAGGTATGAGATGTGATTTTTCTCACTCGTAAGGAAGACGCTGGTTTGTCAGCTTGACCATATATCTGACCAGAATCAAATAAAGTTGGGTGGGATGAAGCCTCCACCTGAGGTGAAGCACAGCAGGTATGGCACAGGTGTGTGGAACAGCATGGGGAAGTATGTATGTTTCCATTTACCTTCTGTTACTGAGGATGATTGACAAAAATCTAGAAGTAGTGAGTGTAAAAGGTAGCGATAAATATCTTCAGATATTCGGTAGTCAAATACTTTAAAGTATACTGTTCTGGGGGTTTTACTGTACTTTTTTCTACCCTCTTTGCTGTGCTAGAGCATCTTCAGTACAAGGGGATCCATAGATCCCATGGACTTTGATAGCAGGCTTACGGTTTCTTTCTCTTTTTTTTTTTTTCCCCTCAGAAGCCCACAGAATAGGGGAGGTGAGGAGAAAACTGGAAACACTCTCGACTGTAGAGGCAGAACATACAAACTTAAGAACAGCCACAGTTTCAAAGTAGCTGTTATTTTGTAAGACATTACGGGATGCTATCAGAAAGGACTAACTACCATTTTGCTCCTTCTAAAGTGAAGGGCGAAATGCTTTCACCGCAAAGGGTTCCAGGTGTGCATAGTTTACAACAGTACTCCAAGGAGAATGTTGGTAGCTGATGATGTGGATGGTAAATTCAAAATTGTGCATGGTAAAGTGGCTCTTCTAATAGACAGTGTTTGTCAGAATTCTTTAGAAACTGAAGATTTTTCATGTTCACTGCGTTATATTTACCAGAACTTAATTCAGTTCTGCCAGAGATGGGAAAAACTGAAGTACTGGCATGACTTTTTCCAAAGTGTATTTATTAAAACATCTTAACTTCACCTATAATTTGTTATTTCAAGAAACTGAATGTGTGCCTCACTTTGGTGATTATGCAGCTTAACACAGACATGTTAGCTCTAAGTGGGCAGCAACTGGGAGTGGCACCATATTGACCAAAAATGGGTGAATCGGTCTCACTTTTGATTCTCTGATCTCTTAAGAATCTGTATAGCTATGTGAGACTGTAATAGTGACAGTTTATGATTTAATTTTTGAATTTATATTTGCAACTAAAATGGCTCTAATTTCTAGGGGAACTTTTAATAAAAATCCTGCAAGCTAATCTCTCTCTAATGTATAAGGTACTGTGGAAGAAAATGAAAATTGTGGGTTTGGCATAAATGATCACTGGGATCATATTTATTGGTAAGAGGAGGATAAAATGAGAACCTGAGTAAGGGGTAAAATGATGCATACAGCAAAGGTAGTCTCGGTGCAAACTGAAGCAGTTAATTAAGGATTTGCTCTCATATGATCGTAGGTAGGAGGCAGCATTGTCATACGGATGTCATACTGATGGCAGCGCTGTTAAAGATAAATTTGGGCTTTTGTCTCTGGGCCAAATATTACAAGAGTCACTTTATTTTCTGATACTGTTTAGTTAGCTGAGTAACAGCAATATCTTTGCAGAACTTTTAATGTTGTGCGATACAGCCCTGGCAAAAGGTAAGGGCAAAACATCAGGTGATGGTAGACCTAGCACTATGCTACATCTTTGTCCCGAGTTTCGCGTCTCATCAGTTAGAACAGGTATTCTCAAGAAAGGTGTTAGAGGGGGGCTTTTCCCCTCATTCAGAGAGCAGTGAGTCATCTGAGACACTACTTGAACGTACAGCAGCATTTGAGATGCCCTTGCATATCTCATGTGGCCTCCATCTGCCACTCGGGAGAGGGGTGGGTCTTCTGTACATTGCTGTCATATCTGATGCTTCTTGACATGGCAGTTTCCTTTTCTCTAAAGGCTTGGTTGAAAACCAAGTGGCATCTTATACCCACTTGGGTATTTAGTTGCTTTCTGTTCTTTACCAAACATCTTGTATCAAGCAGTGTGTTACTTAAACTTTCCTGTGTGAGAATACATAAATGTTCCTGACTGAGGCATTAAAATTAAATCTTAGCAATGAAAAATCACTAGGCCTTTTGTGCCTGATATTCTTGGATACCTCTGTAAAATCTCATTTCTGTTCTTCAGTGAGATGTTAGAATCTTCTTCGCTCTGACTTGATTCTGGAATGTTCTTTGATACTGAAGAGTTTCCAAATACTCTCAAAGCTCTGCTGACATGCTATTAGGGTTAATATTAGACGGTAAAGCTGGACGTAAGAGATCCAGTTATCTGAATCTCCAGTTTTAAAGGTGTTTGTTTTTTTTTTTTTAAACTTTGCAATTTAAGTTGTCTAGACTTGCTGTAAATCAAGTCAGGAACACAAGAGCACTCTTCATTTGCCTCCTGTGGTGTGAGAAGTTATGCCTCAGGATTGATCTGCTGCTGTCAAAGCAGGGTGATTTTTGGAGTTCTATCTGTAATGGTGAAATCTTGCCTTATCCTTCGTTCTCATGCCCTGCTATTGTGTATTTTGGGGTATTTGCTTATGAGTAGGGGCACGAAGAGAATTCTTTAAGAAGATGATTTGAGAAAGGGTTATACAGTGAATGCCTCAGTAAAGGAAGTAACAGGCTTAGTGGTTGGTTTTTTTTTTTATATGTAATATATTGGCAGGGTGTTTTGCTTAAAAGCAGCAAAACAATGTTGACAAAAGGAGACTTATTCTACTCATGTTCAGTATAGGGAATTTCTTACTGCAAATTGTGAATGTTACTAATTAGTATTAATATTAAACATGACTGATGTGAAATATTTGCTGTTGCATTAATCGGGCAAAGAAATAAAGCAAGTTTTAGGATTTGGGTAGATTGGTTAGTGTTTCATGTGAGGTGGTGGTTATGTCCTTTTCCTTGGTAAAAATGGCAATTTGCCTTGCATTGAGTGAACAGGACTGCATTTGCTATGTCCTCTTTTATTCCCTCTTAGTGAGTCCCCTTTTTCTCTTCGGAAGAGATCTGGATCTTTAACCTCTATCCCTGCCAAAAATACCCACCTGTACCGCTTGCTGTTTGTACCACAATTGCAGACAGTAGTTTACTGCAGTAGTTTTGTGTTCTAGTGCTCTGCTGCACAGCTATCCTGTGTCTTTGCATGTTTGTATTTGTTTTTACTCACCAGTTGCTGCATTTTGAAATAAGCTGCTGATCCACGTTTGCCTGAAGACTGTGGTGCCCATTTCAGTGGCTTTGTGAACCCACAGGCAGAGAAGCAGCATGTGAGCCTTGGAGGAAAGGGGGAAGGAGGGTAGGCAGTGTGGAATACTTTGGTCAGCTACCCAAGGTGTGCGATCCACGCTCTTAAACTGCAGGATAGAGGGAATGGTGTGGACTCCATCTTGCATCTCAGCTGCTGTAGTTGACCATAAACAGACTTAAACTACCACAGGGCTACTATCAAGTGCTACGCTCATCCCTTTTTCTGGGCAGACATATACATAATGTTCTTTATCCTCTGTGGGTAACGTGTGAGAGACTGCTGCGTTATGGATGGTAAACTACTAAGAATGCAAAATGCCTGTATACCCAAGTATCGATATAAACCAATGCATTGCCCAAGTATGAAAGACCCTTAAGGATATTACCTGTATGATGATGACTGACTTGTTTTCTGCCCTGAAGTAACAAAATAGAAGAAAACTTACCTTGCTTGCATCAAGTGAGCTGGAGAGAACTGGTTTAGTAGTTGTGATAGAGATTTTTAGCACAAGGGCTTGGTCAACAACATTTTAACAGAGGAAGGAGCAATTTTACTTTTATCTGAGAATGGTTTTAGGATTTTGCCTTTGTTACCCTAATAAAAGAAAAACTGGTCTTTTAAATGGGTGATGAAATGGCTAAATCCTAGTTACAGGCACAACATCTGATAATGAAGGCATGAAGAATTGTTTAAGGGAATACCGTTTATATTTGCAGCCTTCTGAATGTGTTATCACTGGGGAACACTAATCATTGCTTGAATAATCTATGCAGTTTTCAGCAGTGCATAAGGAATACTTTGGGGAACCTCCTAGCTTCTTGAAAAAGAGAAGCAATTAGTTACTTTCATTCACAGTATTCTTGTGCAAATTATTTTCTTTCCCAATTGGAAATGGTCAGTATTAAATGCTGCAGTGTTGCCTTGACTAACAACCTATTGGAAGTGTTTGCTGAAAGTCTTACCCTGAAAGTTAAACATTTTGATACATAATAGGTAAAGTATTATTATTATTTAAAATATTAAAAAAGTCACACATTTCTATACTGGGGGATGTGAGTGGAAAATGAGCAGGCAAAAAAGGAGACACTTTTTCAGCAAGTCTTTCCAGGAAAAAAATATTTTTAAACAGCCTTTAGAAAGTCTTTGAAAAATATTAATCAGATTCTTTCTGGTTTAGGCATGTTAGATGTATTAGATGCCTAAACCTGCTTCATAGATGGCAGAAGAACTGAAGCAAAATTCTGTTCTGAAAGATTCAGTGTAGCCACAGCCAAAAAAACCCAAAAGTGAACCAGAATCTGAGAAACAGAGTATTAAGTTTTCTCAGCGCCTGGTTTTAGCGCAAGAAGGCTTCTGTGCTGGGATCATACCAGAATGCTTAATGTTCTGGAGCTGTGTTTATTTCTGCATTTGGAGGCATTACATAGGTGTTACCTATTTTGTGCAGTGTAGTATAAAAATACTCTAGGTGTCTCAAAGACCTGGAGTAAAACTAGCTGTGTGTTTTGCATCAGGAAGCAGAAAGTAGCACCCTTTTTCCCCAAGCTCCATCCATCTGGAGTTTGGATCATTTAATGTTCATTAATGACCTCAAGCAGCTGGTGTCCACACAAACTTTGGAGTCAGACTCAAGAATTTAAACCTCGGCTATAGTGAGGATCTAGTCAGACTTTTCATATGAATCAAACTAAATGTTGTTTTCAAGAGTAAGTCAGTGATGGCATTAATCTTGGATTTTTATCATGATGTGCCAATTCTGATTTAGGGGCAAGGGGAATTACTTTTGTTCTGAAAGTGGCTGATTAACTCAAGGATGGGATGCACATATAAGTAGGCAATAGAAGAGGAATTTCTGTTTTGAAATCGCTTTCACTTTTTAATCCTTTATATTGTATTTACCAGGTGATTTATCATTGTGAAGCCTGAGAGGAAATCTGATTAGGGTCAATTAACAGTAATGCAAAGGGAAGCAGAGTAGTCCATGTAGACTGCTTTACCTTCTGAGAGTGGGTGACTAGGACTGGGAGCTCGGGGATGTGAGGTTGCTGTGTTGGATGGGCTTCAGCTGCCAAATCCTACTGGAACTATATATTCTGCCTGCTTTTTTTGCCTGCTTTTATTGCACCTCTCTATTGAAAGAGTCAGCAAATAACGATTTTTGTTTGTTCTCAATGATTTAAAGGCTGTAGGGGGTTTAAGACAAAGAATTAGTAATAACAGAACAAGATGGTCAGCTTGGAAAAAAAGCGAATGATTGAGCTTCTCTTAAATCTTTCATTTGGCACTGAAGGTGGCTTTAGGAATTAATGGTTTAAATCAGCAGCTAAGAAACATTCATTTATATACATTTTCATGTTGTTTGAAAACTGCACTTCATAGATATTTTTTTCTAGAAAGGGTTACATCTTTCCAGTTAAACATTAAAATGTGAGGTGTCTGTTGTAAAAGAACTATCTCTAATTAAAGATAGGAGACTACTTGATAAGTAAGAGGATATTTTAAATGTATGCATATATTAACTTTCTTCCCTTAGGGAAACTTTAATTAATTGCTATTTTCTGATGTAATTTATTGTATGGTTGTCGTTTACTCACTGTTGTGAAGTTGTTAGATGGAAGTTGCAGTGTAAGTGAAGTGCAGGAGGACAGCATTGTTTTCCGCAGTTACCTGTAGGCAGTGAATATACTAATTGATGTATCGGTCAGATTTATTTGAAGCAAGTAGGTTGCATCCTTTCTTGCCTCGTTTATCTTGATAGGTTTGAAGAAGAGTGCATTTCAAAGAAAGTAGGTTGTGTTGGGTTTTTTTTGTTTGTTTTTTTTGCCACAGCTCCATTGGTCAAACTTGAACTCGTTTCTTCTTTAGTGGAACAGGAATTGAAACATTTCTTTCATGAACAAGTTTTGGTTTTTTGTTCATGTTATTTGTATCAGGAGTCACTTCTACCCTACTTGGAAAAGGAAAAACTTGAAACTGATAGTGAAAACTCTCCTTTTTATTCGAAGGAGTAGGATTTGGATTTGGCTGAAGATCATTTTATCTCTGCCTTACTCATAGCAGTAAGCCAGAGACTGTGTGCCATAGTCTCTTCTTTGGTTGTATTCACCATTTGCCATGTGCAAAGAAGGTATGATTTGAGCTTGCTTTTTATCATCTCACTACAGAAGGTTCAACACATGGGTTGAAGAACAATAAATTTGACTGAGTGGGTCTGGTGCTTATATGTGTAGTACACACTGTACTGGGTGTAGTGAGAAACTGATGAGATACTGAGTTAATAAGATATTGGCTGTGTTTCACGAGGGTTTTACTTTGTGCTTACTGAAGCCAAGGAGGAAGTGGGAAGAATTTTATTGTATAAGTTGCAGTTGATGCCAGTTGTCAAGATGTCTTGCCTTGCTCTTTCTGATACCCTGGCAAAATACGTACTAGATGAGAAACAGGCATGCAGCCCAGTGCATCTTCTTCCACGCAGTTTCTACTGACCGTGCTAAGATTTCATTCAAGTAGCTTGAAATTTGGCTTCATTGTATATTTTTATTGTTTTAATTATTATTTATTTTTAAAATTATTATTTTGATATTTTTAACATCCTTTTATATATTTTAAGCCAGATCTGCATGCATGTTTGCGGTGTTGCTGACATTGAATATGTACTTGAAAGGTACTTGACTTCCATCCTTTGCCCCTTGCCCTCCCCTTCCCTTTCTGGAGCCACAGAAAAAGTGATTTTTTTTTTGGTAGCTAGAATTGATAAGACCAGTAGCAAACCAGTTCCTTCAGTGACTTTCAGCCTGGCCTAGCAGACAGAAGATTCCCTGTTCCCTTCATGGAGGGCAGGATTAAGTTTTCATAGAATCCCAGATTGGAAGGGTCCTCAAGGATCATCTGGTCCAACCTTTCTAGGTAAGAGCAGAGTCTAGGCAAGATGGCCCAGCACCCTGTCCAGCTGAGTCTTAAGTGTCCAATGTGACAGTCAAACACTTCCCTGTGGAGATTATTCCAATAGTTGACTGTTCTCATGGTGAAAAATTTCCCTCTCCTGTCCAATCAGAATCTCCCCAAGAGCAACTTGTGTCCATTCCCCCTTGTCCTCTCCATGTGATTCCTTGTAAAGAGGGAGTCTCCACCTATGTTCTCCTTAGCCAACAAGGTTGGGCGAGATGGGCAGGGTTGTTTTCTTTGTTTTTATTGCTTAAGGTGTCTGTAGCATCTTAAAGCTTGACATACAATTGGATCAGATATTCCTTTGGCTATTTTGAGTTTATGGATTGTATCTGGGTAAAGTATAATTAATGATCAAGTACGGGAAATATCCCCAGCTATTGCTGAAATGAATAGCTGAGACTGAACTGTAAGAATGTGAGGGAACTGTGAGAATGTAGGCATACAAAATTATCTCGGGGTCAGAAATATAATCAGAAAATGAGTAAATAAGAAGTAGGTTGGGAAGGGTGTTAACATAAGGTTTTTGAGAAAGGATAATTTACACCACAGTTTCTAAGATGTTTGGTACTTGAGGATGAGTAATGGAGAATGACTAATATGTTAAGAATTGAAAGTATACTTTTGGGAAGCTATAGCAGCAATGAAATCTGAAGATCTGTGCTAGCTGTGCGTAAATATACAACAGTGGGAACCGATAAAACTGTGAAAATGCAGTCAGGAAATTGTATTTAATTTGTATGGTGTCCCTAACATAATGTGTTAATCAGGAAAGAGGGAGACTTGGAGAATGCAAAGATGATGAAGAGGTTGAATTTCTTCTCTTTTGTTACATCTCTTAGAGGACTCCCGTATATATTACTTGGCAGAATGATGCATTAAGTGCCAAAGTGTACGAATAGAGTGGTATTTAAATGAGCGGAAGGAATGTTTTGCAACAGCAGAAAAGGTAAACTTCTAAACAGGTAACGCTAAGACCTTCATAAAACTGGAGAGTAATCTGCCAAGATAAAAAGATAATAAATATCCCTGTAACTTGGCACATTTGAAAACAGATAATGGAAGACTTGGTCAAAAGTGAAATAGGAGTAAGTCTCAGACTGATACAGAGCAAGCGAATATGTCCTTAGAAGTCTTGGTTTTGCAGATGTAGCGTGTACAACAGAAGAATGACTATTGCAAGCTGCATTTGACAAATAGCTTAAATAGATGACTTATCAGTTTAGCTGTCAAAATAAATGTAAGAATATTAGTCTGTTCTTCTTGCACAATAGCACTTTAGTAATGAAGTCTAGTCTTAATGGCTTTTTCATGAACTACAACAGTTGCATACCTTACTTTCTGACTATTGCAGGTGCCTTCGCTTGCAAGATGGTACCATTTGTTCAATCCACTGCTATTGTAACTGAGATTCTTACAATGACCTGCATTGCTGTGGAAAGACACCAGGGAATTGTGCATCCACTAAAAATGAAATGGCAGTACACCAATAAAAGAGCTTTCACGATGCTTGGTAAGATTTTAGGCATCTCCGGTAATTGTGTGTAGAGAGAAATAACGTTCAGTGTAGCTGGCGTAGGTGGCATGACAGAACAGAAGGCACTCATATGACCAGTGATGCAGGGGTAAGTTAATGGTAAGTCTGGTAACATTTATAAAATAGCTCAAGGATAGTGCCTATATGTGTTGTAATTACTAGCCAAAACCCTGACAATAAACTTAGAATCTGAAGTCAAAGATTTACTTAACCAAGACTCTGATAAACCTTTGGCGGCCTTTTCATTCGTTCGTTCTTTCTTTTTCTTAAGAAAGGTTCAAAATGTACAAGCACTGCTAAAGCAATGCCACAGCTGTAAACAGTCCTTCCATTGTAACACAAAGAGAACACACATAATGCTGCTCATGCAAATTAAGTTGCCTTTATACTTGAATACCAGTAAATGAAGGTAGTTTGAGAGAAAGAAAACTGATAACAAGTGCATGCTGTTATTGATGTGAATGTTGACTGATTCATGCCTCATAGAAAACTTTGTTCTTTATTGCCTACTTTGCCTGACTTTTTAAAGATTAAGCTATTAAACTGTTCATACCAAAACTTATGCTGCTTTTTGTACAAAGTATTAAAAAAAAATGTATTTGTTTACAGGCATAGTCTGGTTGCTGGCTGTTATTGTTGGGTCACCTATGTGGCATGTGCAACGGCTTGAGGTATGTTAGGTGGAATGGAAATGTGTGTTTTAAACTCAGTCCTTGCTGGATCTTTTTGTACCTTTAGCAATGAAACTGAATAAACTAAGAAATTAAACTGGGATAAAGAGAAGTGGAGCTTTTGTTCTGCATGCCAGCATGAGAAGGGATAAAGGTTAGCACTTTCATGCACTGGAAGGACTACCAGCAGGGACTAGCCATGTGTACCCTCCCCAGTTATGTCAAAGCACAGTAATTACATCTGTGACTTCCACTGTGGCTTCCTTTTGGTTTATAGGTACTCTGGCATATGGTGGTGTTGGGCTTTGATTACTATTTCAGAGGGCTTAGATTACTATTTCAGAGTGATGTAGTGTTCCCTGAGATTTGGAAGGGCTGTGCCTCATTTAGAATGTAATTAGCTGCCCATTATAATTTAAAGGGTTGTTGTACACTTTTGGAGGGGAAAAAAAAAAAGGCTTGTCAGAATCTGTGGCTTGTGAGTTTGAATGTTAACAAATTTTTTTTTTAAAGTGACTAATATGTGAGTTTTCTATACACCCATCTTTACCTGCAAAACGCATAGCCAAGTGCTCCTTTGAAAATACTAATTTAAAAAAAAAAAGTTTTGAGGAAGAGTGCAAATCAGAGCATCTCCTGACCTCTCCTTGTCAACTTCATGTGGAAAAGAGCTTGGAGAATTTTACCAGTTTGAAAAGCCTCTCTGTTGAATTTTGGTTGTTGTAGTAAGAGCTAGGAATATTTGAATGTGCTTGGTTTTTACACTCGGGGTAAACACTCTAGTGACTCATCTCCTTTACACTTGTTACAGGTTAAATATGACTTTCTGTATGAAAAAGTGTATGTTTGTTGCTTGGAAGAATGGGCCAGTCCAATTTATCAGAAGATATATACGACCTTTATTCTTGTTATACTCTTCCTTCTTCCACTGATGTTGATGCTTTTTTTGTACACTAAAATTGGCTATGAACTCTGGATTAAGAAACGAGTGGGAGATGCTTCAGTTCTTCAAGCCATTCATGGGAGTGAAATGTCTAAAATATCAAGGTTTGTAAAGTAAAATACAGTTGGAACTTTGACTTCTAGAAAGCTTTTTTTCCCTGACAGTTCTTGAAAACCAGTGAAAAAAAAAAAATCTGTCTTTTCTTATCTGTTGGGAAGTCTACAAGCATAGACCAGATTTTTAAAGCTAGCTGGTTATTTAACACGCAGATACCCAATTTAAGAAAACTTAAACAGATTGTTTTCTTCAGACTATAGTATAGCCACACCTTGGAAGTCAAGCCCTTTCAATTAATCTATAATTATTATTATTATATGTTGTTTTTAAAAGAATGTAGGCTATGAGTTAGAAGATGTCTTGGGGAAAATGCAGCTACACTATTTCCATATGTTCTATGGAAAGTTCTTTATGTAATTCTGAGACTGTGAACACTGCTTCCGGATCCTATTATAAGTTAAATCGACCTATGGGAAAGAAATCAGAATTCATTTAAAAACTGCTTTGGTACAGTTTAACTTGATATTGCTTCTAAAGAGTTTTGAGTGTTCTCAGATGTGTTTGTGTGAGATGATCCACATGGTAGTGTTCTATCTGAAAAGTTACGAAAACCAATAATTGCCAGGTTTGCTATTTAGCACTAAACATAGGCTACCCTTCATGTTTTTTCCTTTCATTTGGCAAATTGATCTGTTGCCTGATGTGCTAGAAACCTCTAACAGTTCTGCTCAGTGAGGAGAGTATCACCTTAAGTATCGACTGTAAGGAAAATACTGAGAAGCAGATAAATGATTCGTTAGATATTTGTCTAACAAAGTGCCTAAGGAAACAGACCCTTATAAGTCAAAACTGAAAGAGGGTGCAATCTCACAGGCGTTAAGGTGACGTTCATTTTTGACCTACTCCTCAGCTTATTTTCACACAGTGGGGAGAAGATCCTGTAACTGCTACCAGTGAAGTGCTGCTGCTTTAGCTCAAGTGAGAGATCCATCTTGGGATCTGTAAATGTAGTTATATGAATTGTATATCAATTTGGGGATGATGATAAATTCATGTATACCTTGAGTCTGTGAAATATTATAGTGGAGGCAGGGAATGTGTTTCTTGCTCTTATTCTAGCACTTCACCTACCAGCAGAGGTTGAACGTTGCAGGTGTGGTTTCACTTACTCTCTGTCAAATTATGTGTGTATTCAGGTGCTGCAGGTCTTGTCAGTGCTCCCAGATCTAGGAAGGGACTCTTGTGTTTTGAGTTATTAATGGAATTTCATGTGGGTTTTTTTTCCTTCCCATCTCTTGCCATTGGAACTGCATCTGCTTGAATAGAGTGAAAATACCTTGCAAGATATGCTAATATCTACTAGCTGCAGCTGCAAAGTGCATTGCTTTCCCAAAAGAAAGAAATAGAAGGTGTTAATTGATGTACTACATTTATATGATGCTGCATTTTTTTGTTTCAAAGGGAATTGTGTACTTAGCATTCTTCCAGGGTTTTATTTGCATCTGCAACCATCAGAACACATGTAGAGATTTAACTTGAAGAGACACATCTAACTACCAGTGAATTCTTAGTGATTCAGTATGGTTCAATTCTTAGTGATTCAGTATGGAATGTCTTGATGCAATTTCAGGAAGAAGAAGCGAGCAATTGTTATGATGGTGACAGTGGTGTTTCTCTTTGCAGTCTGTTGGGCCCCTTTCCATGTGATTCACATGATGATAGAATACAGTGAGTATCTGCCATGTGTTACACAATAAAGCCTTACTTAGCTTTTTTTTTCTTTTTCTTTTTTTTTTTTTTTTGATAATGGAACTACAGGTTGTGAAAAGCTAGTGCTGCTGCAGCATTCAGGTATAGAATGCCTTCTGCTAGCGAAGGTTAAAGTTGTGCTTATAAATCCTGCCTCACTGTCTTGTGATAGAGATTAATTACTCTGACGTCTGTGAGTGATAGACAGATCTGCAGCGCTCATGGAAAATGAGTACATTTCAAAAAACCTCTTATCAGATGTAGTGTTTGGGAGATACCCTATATCTGAGATATACTTAAAAAAAAAAAAAAAAAAATCTTTGTGTCTTCCTGTAAACCCTACTGAACTTTGCTGCAGGGTGGGTGGGAGGGAACCCAAACTCTCTACCAGCTTTTCTAGAATGTAATCTCTTTAGAAAGGAGATTGCCATTGCTTCTCAATTTGTACAGCACATAAGCCTGCCCTGAAAAGGAGGCTTGCTAGGCCTTACAAGACTTAAGAAAAAGCCAGACTTGGCTATTAGGATGGGGAGCATATCTCTGTGGATTCTTTTTCTTTCTATGTCTGTCATGCTGCCCTCGTTATCTGAAATGTCAAAAGTACCTGGCTAGAAAGTAAAAGTTTTTTCCAAGTATAAAACCTCTTGAACAAGTAACTTTTTAACTCAATTTGATTTTTAATTTAGTATGTGAAGAATTCTGTTTGAATCCACTTAAATTGCCATATGGCTTTGAATTAAACTGCTGTGAAATATTTCTCCCTTCACTTGCCCTGGTTTTAGTGAGGCAGACATATTGGAAATATAAACACTGGACCTCATAGTGATAATACCCAATAAATTTAGTTGAACTTTTTCAGTGTTCTGGACTGGATACTAGCTTGGAAATGCCCTCAATGCTTGTTATCTTTGCTTTTTGCTATGTGCCCTATTCTCTGGGGCATTGCACTGTTCGTGTCCCATTTCCTGCATGGGTACTGGGATAGGACGTGGGACTACATAGCTGAGAGTAGGAACAAGAGGAAGTTTTCAGTAGTTGTACTCTACTTACCAAAGGCAGCAGCTGTTTCTTTGTCTTCTATCACAAATAAGGTTGTAGCAGATAAATCAGTAGTCCTGCAGCCAGTCAGCTGAACCAAATGATGTTTATGGCTGGGCAGAATCAGAAGTGCAGAAGCTGTAACTATTGTCTGGGTTTGTCCCATGTTAAGGTTTCCCATAGCACTCCATGAACTGTTTGTTCTCTCTTCATTGTTAATTTCAGGAATTATTTCAGGTGCTATGAAACCTTTATTTTACTTGCCCTGTAAACCTATGTAGTGCTTATCTAAAGTTTGGTTGCTGAGTATTTGAATTCAAGGAATTCAGCTGCTGTGATCTCAATGATGAAAGAGTGAGAGATGTGACCAAGAAGATGCATTTTTACCTCTATGAGCTGACCTTTGTCAGCACAGAGAAAGAAGCTATGTATGGTCAGTGAGAAGACGGGTTGGTGTTAAAGTACTTAAATATTTGATATGGACATGAAATGCAGAGCTAGAAGAACAACTTGTTTATTCAAGGCCTGTACTTAGCAGACTGGAAGCTTTCTGTTGCTTGGCCATTGGGCATATTATTTGGCTCATAAATTGCCTCTTTTGAATGTCTCTGTTCTTATTTACATAGAAACAGAGCAGAGCTGTGTACTAGATCTCGGTCTTTCCTTGCTGATGAAACCCTGGTGCTAATATTAAGGAAGTCCAGCAAGGTGTTTTGTTGATTCTAACCAAAAGCTTCTAACACCAGACCGGATATAAATAGGCTAAATAGTAGGCATTTATGCCATTCTATGCTTACAGCATATTTCCTTTTTCCTTTCCAGGTAATTTTGAAAAGGAGTATGATGATGTGACAGTCAAAATGATCTTTGCAATTGTCCAGATTATAGGATTCTTCAATTCGATTTGCAACCCTATTGTGTATGCTTTCATGAATGAAAACTTTAAGAAAAATTTTTTGTCTGCCATCTGCTTCTGCATTGTCAAAGAAAACGTATCACCAACCAGACAACTTGGGAACTCGGGGATTACTATGAGGCGGCAAAAGGCAAGTGTTTCTCAAAGAGATCCCATTGACTCCGACGAAGGCAGGAGGGAGGCATTCAGCGATGGCAACATTGAAGTCAAGTTCTGCGATCAGCCAGCTTCAAAAAGGAATTTGAAAAGGCACCTTGCCTTATTCAGCTCTGAGCTTACTGTGCATTCTGCATTAGGAAATGGACAGTAGCATCACAACGGTTTTGAGAATGGGAAAAAAAAATCTCTTTCTATGATAACTTTGAATAGCCATTTAAAATAATTTTCTACTTTGCATGCTGAAATGAGGGGGAAAATATTTTGTGGTTTATTATAATGTTGGGATAATGGTTGAGAAAATGTAATATATTTCATAAGGATGAGGAGTAAAACTTTAGAAAATAGTATTACTGCATGATTTCCAGGAAAAAACCACCCATTTTTCTTGCTAAGCCAATTTAGGGCTTATTTGCCCTCTGCTTTAGGTAAACCATACAACTGTTGTTTGCTCTGTTTATTCTGTGTCTGGAATGCTGGCACGCTGCTGGACCATACAGAGCTGAATGCCAGAAGACAGGAACTGTGGAGAGAGAGCACACTTTGTTTGGATGCCTTGGAAATCTGACACAGGTCTAACATTGTAAGATCTGCTCTCTGCAACTCTGAGGACAGAGGAGTTTCAGATCTGAATTCAGGAAAAATGCAGACTGAGATGCAGTTCTGTTTGGGAAAACAAGTGTATGAAAAAGCCAGCCAGAATTTGGCTCTGAAGATGCTAAGATTTAAACACTGCATGCATGTTCAGATTTTTATTACCAGGAAGCATACTAGAAATTAACAATGCATGCATAATTAATGTGCTGCTTTTACAGGTTAATTCTTGGGTACAAATTTAAATGCCAGTGTACTGCCCTATAAACTGCATTGTTCTGCTGAAAAATGTAGAAGCTGAGAAAGTGCTGTACAGGAGTATGCAGCTGCTGGAGGTCTATAGAGTAAATGCTGAGTTTAACTTAGACGTGTTTGAATATGTGACTTATGGGTTGAAAGTGTGGTGTTGCCATTTTCTGGAAGGTTATAAGGGTCAGATCCAAAGCTTGTTGGGACCCTACGGAAGACTTCCAATGGAATATCATGGTCTTTGGACCAGAAATTTCTCTGAAGACATGCACAAATTTTTCTGTGTCTCCATCAAATTCAAAGTGGATTAAGTACTGTCTAAGAACAGGGCCAGTGTTCTGTTATTTTTAAGCTTCACAGTAAATTATGGGGTTGAAATCCATATAAATTCTAAACATTTTGCTCTCAGTGGGTCAAACTGAAAAATTGTGAAAGAATGCTTACAAGTGTGGGACCAGGGGAAAAGTGTGATCTAAAGTGGTACACTGTGATCTGATCCCATAAATGAGTCTTTGAAATACATAATTTACAACTCCAGATGGGGTTAGGTTGGATCTCTTAATAGCCTGTGAAACATTGATGCTCTCTTCTGTCATCTCTTGCCTCACCTAAGGGACCTTGGTGTTCCCTTGGCAGTAAATTTTAAGATTCTTTTATACTGCTACTTTATGCTTCATTGTAAATGAAAACTTAGTCTAAATTATCCTTGTATAGATTGGAAGTAATCTGATCCTTCTATAATGTTTACAAATTTCCATTGGATAAGGAATTCTGATGCTGGTTTGTGATATGCTCTTTATTTACATGTATATTATTTATATTGTATATGATATACTCCCATGCAATGACAGGGAAGATTCCTGACAGCGAGGAATTAAGAGCACTGCTATTTACGTAATCATATGTATTACATAAAATAACGATTTTGGAGAGCTATGTCTGGATAGAACAACATGAGTGAGGTCATGTTCTGCTTTAGACAGTCACACAGACATGGCCCTGTGCATTACCTTTGAATAATGCTGGAAGCAACAGCAGTAATTTTTGCCTGCAATTATGACTGTGACTTCCTTTGAAGACCATTTCTCTCTTAGCTTATTTTTCCTCTTTGTAGACAGGGGTCTCTCGGTAAAAGTTTTCTGCCCTGGACAATAGAGGCTGATGGTGGTTTATTATCATAGTTTTCCTCAGTTGGTGTGAAGTTAATCTGACTGAGAACTGTGTTTTGACAGATTCTGTTACTGAAAACCAATTTATTTTAAGCTTTTTATTTATTTGCACTGCTAAATTCAATGACGGATTTTAACAAGCATTTAAGAAACTTGCAAGTATCTTATGTTTTTTGTTTCATCTTATCTGTTTCTTCTACTATCTCATAAATTGTTATCTCAACAAGTAACTGTTGTAGTATTGTATTAATCTTTTCATTAAAATTTCTTTTTCTCATTGCTGGTGCTGCTTTGCACTGGGAGCATTTGCTATAAACTTCATTCTTTGAGTTTCTTTTAGTTTAAAGATTCATATAAGCATCTGTGTGCTTTTTTTGGGGATTAAATTCCAGTCCTGTTACAGGTGCCAGCTGTTACTGCAATCCTGAGAGATGTGATTTAAAGGACTTTACAGAATAAGGTAAGAGAGGACAAAAAACCTTCCAGTCTCTTGGTAGGAGAGAAGTGGTAAATGTTTCAGCACAGGTATATGTGGCTAGGGTTAGATTAAATATACATCAAACTACTAATGACAGTTCTTGTACTGTCCTTAGTAGTAACTGTATTATTTGTGCATTTTTGACACAATAGTTTTCTCAGAGCCAGATAATCTTGTGAGAAGTCCTAGCTGCAGGGGATAGAAAACCTTTTATTGACTTAAGCAGAACCAAGATTTTCCCCATGTGTTTTTTTTTTTTTTTTCTTTTTTTAATACGTCAGAGTTTCAGCTTTGATTTAACTAACAAAACAAATTGTTCTATTAAATTGGGTCAAGTGTCAGTCCAGGCTAGTAGCCTGTCTCTTGCAATGGCTCCTATCATGTGTTCTTGAGTGTGTGGCTGTAACTGAGTACTTCAAACCAGTGAAAGCTAGCACTGCTATGGAAAGAACAGCCCTGCTGTCCTTCCAGCTTGCTTGCTTATTCCCATCTTGTATTAACAGAACTGCATGGAGAATCTGATCAGAAAAGTTTCTGGCTAATGATTTTACCAGAGAACAGAAAAGATAACCATGCTTGTGTACTTTGAGGAAAGATGCTTCCTCAAAAAAGTTTCTTTCTAATATCTTAGTTACGAACCACTTATAATTTCTTTGATCAACTTAAAGAGAAACTTATTTTATTCTCAGCTTCAAGGGACTAAGCCTTAAAGTTATGATGAGATGATGCCAGGAACTGGCATGTGGATGAAGACAGGAGCCTGAAAGGACACATTCAGCTGAAGAGAGACTCTGGAAATTTGAATGGACCCAGAAAAAGTGTCAGGTCTTGGTCAACTGAAATCAGAGAGTATAAACAAGGAAACAGTGAGTAGAAGGGAGTGAACCCTCTCAGTAACTATAGTGGTGCATCTGCTGCAGAATTCCCATTCTTTGCAAGGGGGGGGGGGGCGGGAAGATAAATCAAGTGAGATTTCTTCCTAGCAGCAATATTTTATTGGGGGTGTGTGGAGAGCAGGGATTAGTTTCAGAGGATATCAGATGGATTCATTTGTGGGTATGCTTTTACACTTCAGAAATAAGTACTGGGCTGTAATACTTTGTGATGAATAGATGGGGAATTTAGGCTTTTATTGAGGAAACTGGATGCTGTTATGGGTTAACACAATGCTATGCAGACATAAATAATCTGTAGATGATGAATAACTAAACAGAGAACTTGCAGTTCCCCTGTAGTGTTGACAGTGTTTTTGTAAGACATTTGTGGTGTTGAGTGAGGGGGGCATTTAGGTGCAGATCAGGAGATGTCCATCTGAAGTTTCATAATCTCATTCTGCTTTCAAGTAGGCTTTGATTGTTCCCTAAACAAGGATAATGATAATAGCAGAGAAGATGGTGCATCTCAATCTGGCAGTGTGTGCTTAGAATATCCTCAGCCAAATTCTCAATAAAAACCAAGCTCCAAAGATGATCAGCTGGCTGTTTAGGCCCTTGGGCTATGGCTAGCATTTTGAGGAGTACTGCCTAGGCTTTGCAAAATGAGTTTCTGTAAAAATGTTTGTAGATCAGATAACTGTAAATCTGCAAGTTGCTGGTTCTCAGCCAAGAAGAAAAAAACCTGTCTCTTGCTGAAGCTAGTTTGGCCTGGTAGAATATCCATGAGAAATGATCTGTTTGGAGGGAATGGTAGTGGTGGTAAGAATTTAGAAGGGAGCATGCCCTAAATGTAAGGGAGATGTTGGAGGGAAAGGTGGAAATGCTTGGAGGCTGACACATGCGCAAAGCAGAGATGGGCTGTTGAAAAGCATATGTAAGTAGGTGTGAACCCTTGTCCAGGGCTCAGCTGTCCAGGCCTTGGCTGTGAAGCACAGATGCAAGTCCTTTGCCTAACTTTGCTGAAAAACTTGTTGAGCTGAGAGTACATGTCATAAAGCCACGTAATAAAACAATTACAATTTTTTATTTTTTCTAAGATAGTAATGGCAGCTCATGGAGATGAGAAAAGTTCAAGTTGAGGCGTGAGGGGAAAGATTTTTTTGAAAGTCAGAAGATAGCAATTAAAAAATATTGAATATCAGCCTATTCCAAGGGATAATGGGAGGCGGCCTTGCTGCACGTGTCTCATGATTGCCAAGCCAGCAGAGACATGTGATGTGCCTACATTGAGGGTGTAAGGATATAAATTCTCAGCCTGGCAATGTGTTATCCTGTCTACATGCTGATTACACAATTAGCTAATATGTAATGGTTATATATGCTGCTTGCAGAGCCTTTTGAGTATGGTAGAAGCTATAACACCTGAGAAATGAGAGAAATACGCAGATTGTTGAAGATGAGGACTAGATTATTATTACCCAGAAAAAGGAAAAAGTTCCTGAGAGGACTTAGTAGAGCTGGTGACTTAGAGAGATGGGATAGGAAGATAATCATGGCAAAGTATATTTTTATATAGATTAGGTATTTGAATATTACAAAAGTTGGGAATGTTCAGAAACTATTTAGAGAGCAGTTTAGGGAATGGGACAGCATCTAAATGCACAGAGCAAAAGGTTGGGAAGAGTGAAAGCTGCCCTTTTGGTGCTCCTCTGAGTGGAAGCAGTAGAATGGAGCAGGAGTTCCACTAGGGCAAGGAGGAGACAGAGCGTTGGGAGCACAGTCCAATTGCATCAAACTTACCTGGTGAGAACAGGAGGAGGTTTTCCTGAAGCAGCAGAAAGAGGAGGTTCGGAACCATTTCTCTCTGTCATGTTTGTTTTAAGGTTTTCAAAGGAGGTTCTTTATGTTGTAGATGAGTTGTGATTAACAGCAGCATTCTAAAGCCTATATCTTTCTCAGAAACAGAGATTTAATGCAGAAACACAACAGGGGGATATATTGTATACACTCCTTCAGAAACATTCACATAACAATTTCTTTTATTTCTGCCTATATTGAAAGTGCTGCTTTGACACCTCAAAACTGACCTCCAGGAGTCTTGCTGGAAATTCAAGCCATCGTTAACGTCCTCTGTTGAAGCTCCAGCAAAGTTTATGAAGTTATTTTAAACACCTCTGGTGCTTTAAGATGAGAAGAATCCATGCTATTAATATTTAGTTATAACTTATTGCAAGTGACTCTAGTTCCTCAAAACTGTCAAGATGTGAAGTCCTGCTCAAATGTTATGCAGATTTTCTCTGATCCTGTAATAGATTTTGATTTTAATTGCTATCTCCAATGCTGCTATTAGGATGTGATACTATCTTTACCAGCTTCTGATTACTGCTGCTTGCTGTGGGTATTGTTTCCTGTGCTGGGATTTCTGGGTTTTGTTCTGTCTTGCCAAAAGTGGCAATTTTTGTTTGTCTTACTTTTCTGTAAGCAGCTGCAGTGAATAGAGCTGCCTCATTCAGATATCATTTTACAGAGGCATGAATGCATGTTTTAAAAAATGATGCTTAAATATTTATGATGCTTGCATCTAAAAAAAAAAAAAAGTCACGCTGGAGTAAATTAGTGTTTAAGGCCCTCCTTGACCTGATGCAACTGTAGGTGAAGCTTGGTGCATTTCCTCAGACTGAGCAGAACTGATGCTGAAATAGTGCTTACCTTGGATTCAGCAACTGATCTGTAACCCTGTAATAGGAACCTCTGGAGGAATAAATTAAGTGTAGTAGTCTGCTCTCTTCCAAAGTCACATACTGTTTTATTATTAGAGTTTAACCCCCTCAAACTTTTCAGATGCATCAGTACAACAAAACACCATCAATCAAAAGCAGTAAAACCTGGTTCCTTTTACTCCTAGAAATGAAGACTAACAGTCCTTCAAATCAAGCTGAGATGCCACCTGTTTTGCTGCGAAAGTGCTGTCCTGCAAGCCAGAACCGTTTTTAAGAAGGTTTAAGGATATTTACATGTAACCTAGACATTTATAAAAGGCTTCTAGAAATTTAGTAGAGATACAAACTTCTAAAAATTGCATCTGTGCCCTGTAGGGTGCTTAAAGCTTAAACCAAGACTTGAAAGATGTCTGCTGCCTGAAAAATGCTACTTGAATTTTGTTGACATATTGGGCTCTTGCGTAATACAAAGCTTTCTACAAAAATCTCTTATTTCCTTAAGTTTTCCATTTTTTTTTTCTCAAAGCAGAAACTTCTGCTTATTTCTCATTCTTTGGAAAAATAATCTTAAAACCTTTGCCCCAAACATCATTCATTTATGTCACTTGCTGGTGAAAGGGAAAAAACCTGAACTTGAAATATTCAGACTAAAAAAAAAAAAAGGTATTTTGAGCCATATCAAAAGAAACAACTTCAAAGCTTCAGTAATGTATATAAGTATTTATGTGGTTTTTGAAGCAGCCCTTTGTAGCTGGACAGCAGAAGCACTCTCTATGTATGTGTTGAAGGTGAGTGGGAGGCTCGGAGATACTCAGCAGAATTTTTAATTCTTTGTTTTTTCTCTAGTCTGCTCTTACTTGCAAAGGTGCCCAGACTCAGATAAGAATGTAAAATCTCCTGGTGCCTGTATAAGTTCTTTCCCTCCTTCAAAAGAAAGAAATCATTCATCTGCCTCTCCGTGTTTTTTTTAACATAACTTTGCTTCTTAATTACCTTTTTAGGCTGTACTCACTTGGGACTCTTCCTGGTGAACTCCCTGAAGCTGTGAGTCCATCTCGCAAAGTTGGTCTTGGTCATACTGCAGTGAAGCTCTTTATTTTACGAATACTGAAGGTATTTTTTACTTTGCTCATAGCTCCAAGAACTTACTGATTTAAATTCTCAGTGCAGTGATTATCATAAATAAGTGTTTGCTTCAGAGGTCGAGTTTGAGAGAGTGAAGGTTTCTTAAATTTTTACAGAAAGACAATTTGCAAACTTATGCCTTGGCTTACCAGTACCCAGACAACTAAGCCCCTGCTGGCAGACAAAGTCAGGCCCAAAACTCCTGCTGATTTCAGAGCAAGAAGTAGAGTTTATGAATAACAAACTCCAGTATAAAACAAACCTGAATGAATACTATTTGCAGCACAGTTTGCAGTAAAGCATTCAACAGAGGTGCAATGAAAGGCTAGCAGTATGAATACTGGGAAGGTTATTGTCAGGTTGGAGCTTATATGCTTGCTGCTGTGGAGCAGATTTGATTTCAAGATAGGTGGAGGAGAGGGTATAATGGTGGTAAGTGACCTAGTGAATATATACTGAGTTGGGATCTAGATGGAGGCAAGTCTCTTTGCATGGAAACGTGTACCCATAATGAAATGTCTGAGTAGATAGCATAGAATTGGGTAATAAATTAAAAAAACAAAACAAGAACAAAAGAAACTCTGCTGTACTATTAAAAATCTGCTCTACAAATCAGCTTTAGCAAGCTTATGAATTGCTTGCTCCTCATTTTCGATGTCTTTTCCCTAGTGTCCAGATTCAGCTGTGAAGGGTGAGAAAGCTGCTGGACTGTGTTGGATTCACTCAGTGAAGAGGCTGAACTGTAGTTCTCAATTTGTATGAGGGCTGCCTTCTGTACTCTGCTTTTTGGTATTCTAGTGACATCCCCAGGAACCTTGTGCTTTCAGAGTCACTGAACTCAGCAGTTATCTATTGCCTAAGATCACTCTGTCCTAGCAATCAAATTTGTTTAGTGGGAAGTTGGGGTTTGACTTCTGCCTTTTGCCTTGCTCCTTTTCTTTTTCTTGCCTCATCAGTTTGTTCTACTTTCTCACTTAGTCTACACATCTTTTTTTTTTTTTTTCCTATTGCTTTCCCTGAAGCAATTCCTTGCATTCCCTGTGACCCCCTTATCTTTTCTATACAGATTAGAATAACCAGGCAATGAATTTTTATGTAGTGAAACTGCCCTGTGTTTTAGGATTTGTATTCCATCAAGGCTGACTATCAGATATACAAACTGCATTTCCAGTCCTTATTTCAGGCTGTCTGCACCCGTGGGAAGACCTTGCCCACTGTACTGGTTACACTTGGCTTGCATATAGTAAGAAAACCTGCAATTACTGAGCCACCTGCACTTACCTAACATGAGGTTTGCATGTATTGGGGGAGCTGGAGATCTGCTAAGAGGAGTGCATGCAGCTGTCAGGCAGACACTTGGCATCAGGCCTGGGTGCAGCTGTAATGACAGTGAACGTGGTGAGATGGGGCAGTATGGAGAGATGTGCAGTGATGTGTGATGTGGGCCAAGCCAGGCAGCGCTGGCAGAGTTTAAGGCCCCTGTGATAAAATAGATCAGCTCCACTTGACATCGTTGGCATAAGCAAGAGATGCTTTCTGCCTTTCCATCTGGCCCACTGAGTACGTGAAGAAAATGTAACTCGCATCAGCTTGAGCTTCCAGGTGCTTATTAATGCTCTTTTGCTGGTAGCTTGCGTGTAGTATATGTTGTTATTTCTGAATTTGACTTTATATATTTCTGCCAACATTCTATTCCTAATGCTACTTATTGATGTATTTCTATTTCCATATTCTATTTCTTTGACTTTACCTATTTCTAAGTCCTAGGAAGTAAGGCTTCTCAGTGTTGTGCTAGCTGTACTGGGAGAGTTGATTTTTCTTGCTTCAACTAACAAGTGTCGATGTCTGTCTTGATTGTACAGATGACAGCTGGACTATGGCTTATAAAAAGGTCCAGTAACTTTCTTCTGGGAGTCTGTAAAATACACTCTGTGTAGTGTCTTGTGTGTGACAACAGAAATATAATGATGTTCTGCTTCTCACCTCTTGCCTCTAACAGATGGTTTCCATAGGCACATCTGTTAAGCACCCGACTTAGTTATTGTTAGATTTGGTACATAGCTGAAGGGTCTTAAAGAGCATGCAATCTGGGAACAAAAAGCTGGAAAATATACAGCATCTCCATGGGTAATGTATACAAATATATCCTACTGAATATCACATTAAAGCTGTGTCCTCAGTCAGACTTGAATTTTGAAGAGCAGATTTGTGGCAAAACCATCTGAAAAATCTCTTTGCCTACTGCAACTCGGTGTGGTTGGGTTGTGGCCTCACTCAGGCTGTAGATGGCACCGTTGCTGCACACGAAAAGCCATCTTGGGCTTGCTCTGCCAGTCACCTTACTCCTAAGAGAACTGTTATCCTACAGGCTTTTGAAAGCATATATTTGATAGTAGGATTTGGTAAGTGTTTGATAGAGCTCCCCTCTCCCTAGAATTAGTATTAGGAAGAAACATGGAGAGAGGTGAAGGACAAAAACCTGAGCTGAGGAGTTAGAACTGATGAGTGACCAAAGATCGATGGTATAAACAATCCAACAGAAATTGGTTTATTGTTTTTTGGGTTGTTGGTTTTTTGTTTTTTTTTTTCAAGTCTTATCTGAGATTTTTAAAAATTACCTTTCTGAGAAGAACATCTGAAAGTCATTCCCTTTGGAAAACTTCTGTTTTCCAAACCAAACAAATACCACACTTTGGTCAATCTGTCTTTGTTTTTGAAATTGGGCACTTGAAAAATAAATTAGTGAATGGAGCTACAAAAGGGAAAAAAAAAAAAAAAAAGAGATCAAGGCTGTCTGAAATCCTTCAGACAACTCATTTCCAGACTCCTTGGAGCATACTAAAAGGCCCATAGCTGTAGACATCCTGCTTCACAAATCTGTTGATATAGTGGGGGGAAGCCAAAGGGGAAATGGGGGGGGAATAAGGAGTTATTTATTAGCAATCAGCAGAAATCTTAGTTCTGAAATGGCGAACTTACAAATGTAAAGGGTCTCAAAAAGTGATCTGTTTTTATTACAGTCGCCGCAGATATTCATTAAAACATGTTATGCACAAAAAAGCCTCTAAAATCTCAAAGGGAGTGGGGGAATATTGCTGTTAAAAACACAAAAAATACCCTTGTGTAGGGACACAAATTGTAGAATACAAATCTTGCCATATTGATGTTAGTTAAAGCTCCACAAATACTAGGGCAAATGAACAAATGATTATTTGAATTGTTGAGAGTGTTACACAAACCATGAGAAAAAGTGGGAAGTCTTTGTCATAATTTGCACCATGCTCATGAAATGCTAAGTTCTTGAAACAGTTCTTGATGCACATTTATAAAGTCTGAAGTGGAATAAAGCCACTTTGCTGATGAGGGGGGAGGAGCACAGAAGGACATAACCATAAAAGTGGTTAGTTTTGTTTGCAAAGTAACCTGAAGAGGCAAAGGAATGTGCTGAGTTTACCACAATCAGCTACTTTGAATGGAAATAGTTGATAATCGCATGAAAAACAAGGCAAACACTGGCTTTCTTGTTTGTTTTTGAAGGAATATATTAGGGAAGTGTTACTCTTATTAGCATGTGCTATTTACCTCTCCAAAGTAAAATTATACAGTTGTGAGATTAAAGAGAAAAATGTCAAGAAAGCCATTAATTAATTCGTCATCTATAAAGAGGCTCCAGAACACAGACAGCAGTAAAGGAAGCTTTAGTCCTGCTAGTTTGTCTTGGGGCAAATTTGGGCAGATGTTCTTGTAAAGCAATGGTATTTCAGTTTGTCACCATTGCTTGTTCCAGTCCATGCTTATGCGTGATGCCGTTTTGCTTCCATTGCTTTTGCAGTAGCCATCGTAGTATTTCCTGGTTTTTTTAATATGTTTGGGAGATCAGAGATGCTCCTGGGAGCTTTTGTTCCTAGAAGCTGTGCTGTTGTTGGTATCTGGTTCATTTAGGTGTCACAGATGACCCTGAGCTATTGAGAAACTACCTCTGTGTAAAATACATGAAGCCTTGTGCTAAATAGTCTTATTTTTATTCATCCATGCAGAATGACTTAGTTGCTTATTCTAGGAAATGTAAAATGACTGCCTCTTAGGGATTGTATTGGGACATGTTACAGGCTGTTACTACTGCTATCATGGTTAGAATGTACAAATCAATCAGATAAAACACTTTAATTCCACCTGAGACTGTAGTCACATTTTGTATTGACTGTATGCTGCGTAAATAGACCCAATATGATATATGTGCTATACTTTTATTAAATAGTCTCTATATTATACTGATGCGTGTGTATATACATTACATATCCTAAACTTTGTCCCATAAAGCCAATATTTGGCTTGTAAGAAAGAAGGCACGCAAAACCCTTGTATTTGCCATATGTAAGCTACTTATAGCTATATTCCCAATTTAAGTGGAGATATTTTAAATTTGATTTTCTTTTTTTTTGCATTTTAGTTGGCAGCAGAAGTCCTGTCTAGGTAAAATTTCTAATGACATTTTAAATTATTTGATTTTGAAGACTATGCATAAATATATATATATATTTTTTTTTTTTTTTTTCTCTTTTCCTTTAATCATATGCATGGGATTTGGTGTCAGCCAGCGTGGCTGTTTCTCAGAGTGGAACTGCCCATACAGAGCAAGCAGTCTCCCTGCAGGAGTGCTCAGAAGTCTTTTTCTCAGCTGGTCTGAACATTTTGCTGAGATCTGGAAAGTCTCTTCAATCTCAAAAATAGTCATGGGAAGCTCTGGGAGTGTCCTCTTTCTAGCTTTCCTCCCAGTCTTTTATTCAGTTGTTGTCCTAAGCATAAAGCCAGCAGCTAAGCACCCACACAGACACTTGATCACGTACCCCCCAGCCTTTATTGCTGAGCATGATGGTTTTGGGAAGCTTTGATAAATTTTCTGCCCAGAAACATCTTGGTAGACGTGCCTTGAGGACCTTACCTTCTGCTGACTTTTCAAGCTCTTCCTTGCGCAAAATACTTGCTGAAGCATTGCCGTAGGCTGTATGAGTCCCTTTAGAGGGCAAAATTGGCTGTTCAGATATGACCTTTTAGAGATGTTTTCCTGGTACAATCTTTTATTTCAGGATCTGTAAGGACAGAATACAGCTTTTTAGTGGGCTTAAGCCTGAAGCATGAATCCACAGCCCCAATTCTTATTTTAGGTGTGCAATTTAGTATGGTTATGTGATGACAAAATGGCCAAAACCCCTCTATGTGGTTTCATTCTTGGTTAAGAGTCACTTTGTCCAGGCTGGATAGTGTACTGAGGACAAGGTTGGTTAGCCCTTACATTGTCTGCTATTGCTTTGCACAGACTTAATGGATTGCCTCAGCCTTCCTGCTTCCCTTGAAGAATGAAATAAGGTGGAAGCAATCCTTTAACGGATTATGTTGAAGAAATAAGGGACAATCCCTAAAAGCTAAAAATG